GAAGCAAGAGATACTTATCAAAAGTATTTAGATGATGCCAACATTGTTCAATGTATCTGTAAGTAATTGATCTACCATATGCAACGGAAAACAAAAATTCAATCAATAAATCAATTACCTTTCTTTGCCTAGATCCGAGTATAGATTATACCGTTTACATGTTTATAAAAAAAATCTATATAAAGTAAATCCATTCAAGGATTAGAATACTTACGTACATTTGGAGGCTCCTTCGAATATCTCTGATTTCAGACATGAACACTGTTCATCGATTACTATTCACTATATTGTTCACGGTACTGTTCATGTCAACTGTTCACGTGATTCTTCGCTAATTGATCCAAAGTAGGATCGCACTCACGAAACTTCACACGAAGATAATCCGCAGAACCCTTGATTATTTTGCTAGAACAATCAAGGGCTTTAAGAATCAAGAAAGAAGAACAAGAAAAGTTTTCTTCTTGAGAGAGAGAGAGATAAGGTGGCTAGGGTTTTTTTGATTGAATGAATAATTCTCCTATGTTTTAATTTTAAGTTGCACTTATACAGTGCAACAATTAAAACCCTATTCCATTTAGGAATAGTCATGGGCTCCAACCCTAGTTCACCCTTGCAACCAAACACACCATTTATGGTATTTTAATTAATTAATTATTATTATAATTAAAATCAATTAATATATAATAATATATTAACATTCAATTAATAATAATAATTCATTTAAATATATACATAGATATATTTAAATATAATTTTACTAATTTAATTTTAATATTAAAATTAAATACAGGCAACAACCTCAGCAAATTTAATTGCACTGTGAGATTACCAAAATACCCTTTTCATCCTAAAAGACGAAAATAACCTTCTCACAAATTGATTCTTAAATTATCTTCTAAGTGTGTGACTAGTAGGCTCCTCATCATATCGACAGTGTGTAGTATCGTGATTAACACCAATTAATCGTCTCACTACATATAGAACAAGATTGGCCCCGAGTAAGGCATCATGACCACCTAATAAATTCGGATTCAGCAAAACCGTAGCCTGTCAATGGTATGGTTACCATGCAATCAAATCCTTTCATCAACTGTTATCTCATTGAGACTAAGGTACAGAAATATTGTCAACCTCAGGTATCCTCGACATGTTTGTATTCAGTTATTGGACCAATGAGAGGAATATTAAATTGGATTGAGCATCAACTCAATCCCACTGTGGCCACAGATTTAGTGTCATTGCCATTTACTGAATTAGCCAGTGAGATAACTTCTTCCGTACCCAAGAATGATGAATCCTTTGTCGATCCACCATAGTCTCAATACACTTCTCAATGTAGCCAACCACTATCATATTGATAGCTCTGAATAGAACTACGTTGGGCTAGTGTCAAACTACACTATTTGGTGCATAAGGCGCTCCGGTGATCTCAAGTCTAAGGATCACATGCACCACCATCCGTTAGAGGATTTATTCCATAGACACTAGGGTTACCATCCATATGGAATCCTCTGGTGGGTCTGTCTAGTGAAATTGCCTCTAGCAAGCACTCATGCGTTGCATCAGGTTATCGACAAACAACCTTGACAAGTGAGATCAGTCACCCCTTTCGATAGGGTCATTCAACACTATGATAGCCTTACCGTATTATCTGTGTCCTTGGTCAGAATAATACTAGGGCTACGAACGTTTCTAGAATGGCCACCATATGTGATCATAGGGTTCTCACTATCAAGATTTGAAACATTCGATACCCTCTAGCAAGCACCCAACCATCCTAAGGACATATATCAATACATATAATATGATTTACGTGATATAGTGGATAATGCCTCTAGCAAGCACCCAACCATCCTAAGGACATATATCATTACATACGAGGCGAGTGAGATTAGGAAAAGAAATACATGGAGATTTAAGAGAGAAAGGCAGCACACGCAGGTCCTATTTGTTTATAAAAATTACAAACAACCCCAATAAACAATAAACAATAGGTCTAGGGTTCATGTACTGGGCACCATGTAATTATCAAACAAGAACATTGCATACATCAATTTTTGAATTGGGTGGGTTGAATTGTCAAGTTACCACCTTAAACGTGTCGAATGAATATTAGCTTTAAAGGTTCAAAAACTGCAATTTAGCCCCTGTGTGAAAAATGGAAAGCAAAAACGGAACAGTAGGTTTCTTGCCGCGGTGAAGAAATTCTTAGCTCTGGCAAAGTTCATGCACACATGGTTGCTACGGCAAAGTTTTATTTTGCTGCGACGACCGTGAACTTTCAGAAAACACAAATCGTTCCAAAGAGTTTTATGCCGCGGCGAAGTTTTATTTCACCGCGACTAGATCTACTTTTCCAAAATTTCACTACGGTGAAGGTTTATTTCACCGTGGCTAGATTCACTTTTTGCATCTCGCCGCGACGAAGTGTTATTTCACCGCGGCTAACACCGCAAAATAGTGAATCAGGCACAATAATGTCTTTTGCAATTTTTCACATAATGACATGGATCCAAATCAAATCGAATGCTTAAACATTCGACCAGGATACCAACCAACCAATACACATTCAATCAACACATTATTTAATCAATTGATTAATTAAGACATTCAACATACAAAATTTTTCCAGATTTAAAAAAACACTTCAAATCATGCAATAACACGTTATCAAACATCAATTAAACAATATAATCTAATACCCAAGGCTCTAATACCACTGTAAGTAATTGATCTACCATATGCAGCAGAAAACAAAAATTCAATCGGTAAATCAATTACCTTTCTTTGCCTAGATCCGAGTATAGATTATACCATTTACATGTTTATAAACAAAATCTATATAAAGTAAATTCATTCAAGGATTAGAATACTTACTTACGTTTGGAGGCTCCTTCGAATATCTCTAATTTCGGACACAAACACTGTTAACATGTTACTGTTAACCAGTTACTATTCACAGTCACTGTTCACAGTTACTGTTCACGTCTACTGTCCACCATAGTCTCGATACACTTCTTAATGTAGCTAATCACTACCGTATTGATAGCTTTGAATAGAACTATGTTGAGCTGGTGTCAAACTACACCAATTGGTGCACAAGGCCCTCCAGTGATCTCAAGTCTAAGGATCACATGCACCACCATCCGTTAGAGGATTTATTCCATAGACACTGGGGTTACCATCCATATGGAATCCTCTGGTGGGTATGTCTAGTGAACTTGCCTCTAGCAAGCACACATGCGTTGCATCAGGTTGTCGACAAACAATCTTGACAAGTGAGATCAGTCACTGCCTTTCAACAAGGTCATGCAACACTATGATAGCCTTACCATATTATTTGTGTCCTTGGCAAGAATAATATTGGGGCTACGAATGTTTCTAGAATGGTCACCATATATGATCATAGGGTTCTGATGAGAATGCAAAATGTCATATTTACCCCCCCTCCCCCCTTTAATGTCTAGTCTTTTATACTTATTTGTTGCCTAAATGTACTCATTATTATTCTATTTTGATTTAAGATGCAAATAGAGGCGTTAAATGCAAAACAAAACTAATTAGGAGAATTCGTAGTTTCGACATTGCTTCGTAATCTGGGAATAACTCTCTCATCCGAGCTTTGATTGAGATGATTCAAACTTTTGTGGAATGCTAATAAATGGATCTACAACTTTCATGCTTTGAGTTTGGAGAGATACTCACTTCATCAAGGTTGTAATTGGGCTTGAAGTTGATGCACCTACACTACTGATGTTCTGGAACATTCTGCCTTGTCATGCAAGTCAAATAGGCAGTTTACTATTGGAAGTTTTGAAGACCTGGTGCACGCAAGTTACAACTGGAAACACCAATTTCCTATTTTATATTAGGACTTTATTTTATTTTCAATTAATCAGATTAGGATAAATGTATTTTAGGATATTAGAATATTTTTAGGAGATTTAGTAGAATTCAAAGACTTGAATTGGATATTTTTAAGAGGGGGAGAGAGATCAGATTAAGAGGGATTACACACGCCTCTCTTTCCTCTCTTCTGTAATTTTCTCTTTTGAGTTTTGATTATGGCCATGAGCGGCTAAAACTTTTATAACTTGGTTGAAGGAAACGAAGGCCTCGGAATCCATAAAACTGTGAGATCTAATCTGTTTTTTTAGTGTTCAATATATGTTTTGAGTATTGGATGTTCTTTTATGCCTATTTTCATGAGTGTTTCATTTAATTACTAGGAGGCCTACTTGTTTATTATTTGGTACAATCTACTGCTAAGTTAGATATCAAATCCGTAATTGTTTGATCCCTCTAACTTGTGAGTAATTAAGGTTTGAGAATTTGCTGTGTCAGGAATTATTAAATCTTAAGAAGAACATTCAACTAAATTAAATACCACTTGTGTTTGTGTTGTTCAGCTTCATCGATTTCTCTAGCCTTTAAGGTTGCTACTAGATTAAACCTTTAGCGCTTGTCTAGGGTTGTTTAGTAGTGAGATTAATTAGATCGCTTATTTCATAATTAACTACAACTAAGGAGAGATAGGAAAATAGTTTCAACAGTGAATACTCAAAGTAACAATTGATATATACTTGCATCGATGATCAGTTGTAAAATTTTGATTATGGATGTTGACTTAGACCAAGGTTTGTTATTTTGATCGATAATTTAACTTGAATTGTTTTTCCTAAAAGTGTTTCCGTTTTACACAAACCCACCCCCCACCCCCAGCCTTGTTCATGTAACATAAAACTCGACTAGACACTCTCCGTGGAAACAATCCTTACTCACACTACTACATGTGTTTTTAGGTTTTAATTTTGGTTGCCTACGATAGCATACCAGGTTCTCACTATCACTATCAAGATTTGAAACACTTGATACTGTCATCACGATTCTACCATCCTAAGGACATATATCATTAGATACACGATATAGAAGAATATGAATTTTATTGATAAATAAACATTTATTGCAGAGTCAATTTTACAATAATTGATTGGCTCTAGGGCACCTACTCTAACAGTATCATAATAGCATCATTGACACCTAATCTACAAGAGCAACATGAGAATTTGGATGCTAGTTCTATTATCACAAATCTCAAAAAACTCTTCCAAAAGCGTGCAAGACACGAGCGATACGAGGTGTCAAAGGCATTGTATAGATGTCGAATGGCTGAGGGAGTCATAGTTGGCCCACATGTTGTCAAGATGGTTGGCTACATTCAAAGGCTTGAGACTTTGGGATTCATCATGGATGCAGAATTGTCTATAGACCTTGTTTGGCAATCCTTGCCTGATTCGTTCTCCTAATTCATATTAAAATTGAATATGAATTCTATGGAGAAGACTCTCTTAGAGATACTGAGTATGCTGAAGACAATGGAGAAGGAAATGAAGAAGTCCACACTAGTGCTACTAATTGCTGCTCCACATAGAAAGGGAAAGGGTAAACAAGGCAAAGGAAAGGCCAAGGCCAATCCTAAGTTCAAGCCTAAGACCAAAGATGTCCTCAAGTTTGCTGGAAGCATGAGCAAATATGGAAAGGTTGTTTGCTTCCATTGTTGCAAGCCTGGCTACTGGAGGAAACATTGCAAGGCTTTCCTGGCAAGCAAGAAGAAGAATTTTGCATCTTCTTCCAAAGGTATGTATATGATTGAAATTAATCTTTCTCCTATTACATCTTGGGTCATTGACACTAGATGCGGTTCTCATATTTGCACTTTTGTGCAGGGTCTGAGTAAGTGACCGAATTCACGTAGCGAAAAAACGTAATATTTAAAATGAATCGATCAATTACACGAACCAAGATCCGAGTACAGATTATAACGTTTTCATGCATAAACTGGAACGTAAAATAAAAATGTATTAAAAACAAATCCATACAAGGATTTAGTTCATACCGATGTTTGGAGGCTCCTCCAAATATCTTTAATTTCGAACACGAACACTGTTAACTGGTTACTGTTCACCGTCTACTATTCATGTGATTCTTCGCTAATCGATCCAATGTAGGATCGCACTGACGGAAGTCCACACGAAGATAATCTGAAGAACCGACAATTGTTTTGCTAGAACAATTGCTGACATTAAGAATCAAGAAAAATCAAAATCGAAAAATTTTTCTTCTTCACTTGAAGAAGAAAACGTGAGAGAGAGAGAACCTTTTGGGTGGCTAGGGTTTTTAATTGAATGAATAATTCCCCTTGTTTTAATTTTAAGTTGCACGTCTATAGTGCAACAATTAAAACCCTATTCCACTTAGGAATAGCCATGGGCTCCAACCCTAGTTCACCCTTGCAACCAAACACACCTTTATGGTATTTTAATTAATTAATTATTATTATAATTAAAATCAATTAATATATAATAATATATTAACATTTAACTAATAATAATAATAATTCATTTAAATATATAAATAGATATATTTAAATATAATCTCACTAATTGAATTTTAATATTAAAATAAAATACAGCAACAACCTTAGCAAATTTAATTGCACTGTAAGATAACCATTTTTCATCCTAAAAGAGGAGAATACCCTTCTCACAAATTGATTCTTAAATTATCTTCTAAGTGTGTGACCCATAGGCTCCTCATCATATCGGTAGTGTCTAGTATCGCGATTAACACCAATTAATCGTCTCACTACATACAGACCAAGATTGGCCCCTAGCAACGCATCATGGCCATCCGATAGATTCGGATTCAGCGAAACCGCAGCCTGTCAATGGTATATGGTTACGGTGCAACCCAATCCTTTCATCATCTTTTATCTCATCGAGACTGAGGTACATAAATAGTGTCAACCTCACATATCCTTAACATGTTTGTATTCAGTTACTGGACCAATGATAGGAATATTAAATTGGATTGAGCATCAACTCAATCCCACTGTGGCCACAAATTTAGTGCCATTGCCATTTACTGAATTACACAGTGAGATAACTTCTCTCGTACCCAAGAGTGATGAATCCTTTGTCGATCCCCATAGTCTCGATACATTTCTCAATGTAGCCAATCACTACCATATTGATAGCTATGAATAGAACTATGTTGGGCTAGTGTCAAACTACACCAATTGGTGCACAAGGCGCTCCAGTGATCTCAAGTCTAAGGATCACATGCACCACCATCTGTTAGAGGGTTTATTCCATAGACACTGGGGTTACCATCCATATGGAATCCTCTGGCGGGTCTGTCCAGTAAACTTGCCTCTAGCAAGCACCTATGCATTATACCAGGTTGTCGGCAAACAACCTTGACAAGCGAGATTAGTCACCGCCTTTTGACAGGGTCGTTCAACGCTATGATAGCCTTATCGCATTATCTGTGTCCTTGGTTAAAATAATACTGGGGCTACGAACATTTCTAGAATGGCCACCATATGTGATCATAGGGTTCTCACTATCAAGATTTAAAACATTTGATACCCTCGTCATGGTTTTACCATCCTAAGGACATATATCAATACATATAATATGATTTACGTGATATAATGGATAATGCCTTTTATTGATTAATAAACATTATTACAAAGAGTCAATTCCACAATAATTGATTGGCTCTAGGGCACCTACTCCAACACAGGGACTATGGTAGAGTAAATCGCTCGGTCGAGGAGAGGTGGACCTACAAGTTGGAAATGGAGTGCGAGTTGCTGCATTAGTCATAGGAATTTATTATTTATCTTTACCTTCGAACCTTATTTTAGAACTCTCAGATTGTTATTATGTTTCTTCAGTTTCTAAGAATATTATTTACGTGCCGCTTTGGACAATGTTGGATATTAGTTTTTCATAACTAATGGGTCAATATCTTTTAGTTTGGATGGTATTCAAAATGGAACTGCTAGATTACATAATGGTCTATATATTCTAGATTTAAGTAATAATGAAATATTCAATCTTGAAAATAAGAAAGCCAAGAACATGGCTTTAATCAAACGTATCTATGGCATTGTAGGCTGGGTCATGTGAACCAGACTCTCATCACAAAACTCTATAAGGATGGAGTTTTGGACCCATTTGACTTCCAGTCTTATGAGGTATGCAAGTCGTGCCTATTGTTGAGTAGGTGCCCTAGAGCCAATCAATTATAGTAGAATTGACTCTTTGTAATAATGTTCATTGATCAATAAAAGGCATTTTATTCTATATCGTGTAGATCATATCTGTATGTATTGATATATGTCCTTAGGATGGTAGAACTGTGACAAGGGTATCAAGTGTTTCAAATCTTGATAGTGAGAACCCTATGATCACATACAGTGGCCATTTTAGAAATGTCCGTAGCCCTAGTATTATTCTGACCAAGGAGACAGATAATACGATAAGGCTATCATAGTGTTGAACGACCCTATCGAAAGGCAGTGACTAATCTCACTTGTCAAGGTTGTTTGCCGACAACCTGGTGTAACACATGGGTGCTTACTATAGGCAAGTTCACTAGACTGACCCACTAGCGGATTCCATATAGATGGTAACCTTAGTGTCTCTGGAACAAATCCTCTAACGAATGGTGGTGCATTTGATCCTTAGACTTGAGAATACTAAAGCGCCTTGTGCACCAATTGGTGTAGTTTGACACTAGCCCAACACAGTTATATTCAAAGCTGTCAATATAGTAGTGATTAGCTGCATCGAGGAGTGTATCAAGATTATGGTGGATTAACAGAGGATTCATCACTTCAGGGTACGGAAGAAGTTATCTCACTGCGCAATTTAGTAAATGGCAATGACACTAAAGTTGTGGCCACAGTGGGATTGAGTTGTTGCTCAATCTAATTTATTATTCTATTCATTGGTCCAGTAACTGAATACAATCATATCGAGAGTAACTGAGGTTGACACTATTTCTATACCTCAGTCTTGTTGAGATAATAGATGATGAAATGATTTGATTGCACGGTAACCATATCGTTGATAGGTAGCTATTTCGCTGAATCTGAATCTATCAGATGACCATGATGCCTTGCTAGGGGCCAATCTTGGTCTATGTGTAGTGAGACGATTAATTAGTGTTAATCGCGATACTACTCAGTGCTGGTATGATGAGCCTACGGGTCACACAAATAGAAGATAATTTGAGAATCAGTTTGTGCAAGGGGTATTTTTGTATTTTAGGATGAAAAGGTATTTTGGTAATCTCATAGTACAATTAGATTTGCTAAGGTTGTTGCTTGGATTTAATATTAAATCAAGTATATTTAAATATATGTATGCATATAATTAAATGAATTCCTATTATTATTATTAAATGTTAATACATTTGATAAATATATTAATTGATTTTAATTTCAATAATAATAATTAAAATAAAATACAAATTGAGAGTGTTTGGACACAAGGGCTAATTTGAGTTGGAGCCCAATCCTATTCCTAAGAGGATTAGGGTTTTCACAAATGCATTATTTAAGTGCATGTGTGTTGAGAGAAAAGACATATCTCATCATTATTGTAACATCTACTGAAAACTAGTACAATGCATGCATAATAACAATAGAAAATTGGGCCCAAAGTTTTCTTTTCATTACAATACATGTGTCTTTTATACATAAAGAGTACTATTTACAAAAATGTATTTTAAAAGACAAAACAGGGGAACAGTGTAGCTATTGCTCCTCGCTCGCCGACGCCCCTCCAACCGCATCAACACCTAGAAACTGCATCCACAAAGGAAAATAACGGGGTGAGCACAAATAATGCTCAGTAAGTAAAACCCTCTAACTGTCTGTCCCCGTGTGTGACTCTTAATTCTTTCCTTTTCTAATTCTGTTTCTATTTCTGTTTCTACTAAATACCATGACCTCATCTTACCGGAGGTACGGCCGGATGGCGTTCACACAGCACCATCTCACTCTCCATAACTATCGGGTGGAATTCACATAGTACCAACCCGTTCTTAGTGACTACCAAGTGGGGATCACAAAGCTCCTACTCGGTTTTCCTAACTATCGGGTGGAGACCACTTAGCACCTACCCGTTCCTCATGACCTTTGGGTAAACCACACCAAGCATTAACCGTCTCTAGTCACTGTCGGATGATCACGCATCAGCCCACTTCTACTAACTGTTGATGATGATCACAAAGCATCACCCACTTATCTAATACTAATCGGATAGTGTCACAAAGCATTTACCCCGTTTCTATTGCTCATTGGGTGACGATCACAAAGCATCGACCCATCTCTCTAAGGCTATTCGATGATGATCACAAAGCATCAATCCGATCCCATAACGGTCGGGTGATGATCACAAAGCATCATCCCAACTATCTACTCTTCTAATTCATTCTATTGTAGAATTTT